TTAATAAACGTTGTATTTATTGCAGTGTTTCACTGCTAAAATCACAATTTGTTGTCACACATTTCAAATGCATAGGTCACAAGCACATATCACAATCATTAATTTACTCCTGTTTACTGCCACCTTTGTTGGCCTCTTCAAACATGCGCTTGATCTGCGCCTTGTAAAAGTCGTTCACTTCCTTTCGCTTCATCTTCATGGCCGCCGTCAAACTAAAGAGGAGGAAAAAGAGGAACATGATTATCTAAAACAGAACAAAGTATCATCCGCTTACAAGTTATCCGGCGTCCACTCTTCAGGCACCAGCGTGATCACCGTGGGCACTTCCTTCGGGGCAAAGGACGCCCGCCTACAGGTGTCCCGTATTGAGTCGAGAACTTGCCCCTTCACCTGGTCATCCTCACAAAGCTGCTCAAAACTGAGGCTCTTTGGCTTGACCAGTTTCTCCGCCAGTTCTACCAGGGCCCTTCGATTTGGGGAGACCAGGGCGGTGACGTAATTGCTGAACGGATCAGTGCACACGCAGACGCTCTCCACAAAGGGCGTGGCACGGAGGGCAGACTCAATCTTGCCCAGCGAGACAAACTCACCGTTGGCCAGCTTCTGCAGGTCCTTGCGGCGGTCTAAAAAAGAAACAAAATGTTCTATTTACCCCCAAAACAAGCAAATCAAAAGACTCACCGATAATCTTCAGGCATCCGTTCGGGAGCACCTCACCAATGTCACCCGTCTCAAACCACCTCGTCCCATCGGGGTCAGTCTTGAAGGACTCCGCCGTCTCTTGGGGCATCTTGTAGTAGCCCTTGCTAACCGTCGGTNAATTGGGCAGGTCCGCCGTACTGTACCCTCCCTCAGGCCAGTCCTTCAGGTAGTACTTCACTGAGTGGAAGGGCACTCCAGTGTGGCCGGTAGTGAGGTCGGCCGCCATTTGAATGGTACTTCCGGCGGAGGCCTCCGTGCAGCCGTAAGCATTCAGAACCTTGATGTTCATCAGCGCCTGCACACTTCGGTGTGTCTCCTCGCTGATGGGCGCAGAACCGACGAGCATCGTCCGAAAATGGCCGCCAAACTGCGCATTAATTCGCCGACAGAGCAGTCGATTGAG